CAATTACTCTTTCACGGGAACCAGGCGGCAAAAGAAAAGAGCCCGTAAGTGCAGCTTTTGTGACAAAAATATTGCAGGCCGCTTGGAAATCATTAAAAAAATCTTTCCGCAAAACGACCGGTCGCCTCCAGTACTTGTAACCTTGTGGGCGAGTGTGGTAGTGCCATTGGCGCACTATTACACGCATGGTCCGCTAACGTGTGCGATGCTGTCCGAGGTCAACCAAGCTTTTCATTTCTCTAGGTTCTACTCTTCCTACGGCTGTTTGGGAAGGCTATGGCCTCCAATGGGCGGAAGTGGTGTAGTGGCAAGTGGCGCACTATCTCACACGCACGGTCAGGGATTCAAATTCCGTATCGATATTTGTCTAAGCCAACAAAGCCTCTCATCCCATCGGGGTCGGTTAGTTGGTAGCAGACTCATCTGGGAGGATGAAAGCTTTGTCTTGTACATCGGTTGGCCACCGCGAGTCATTGTATAGGCCACATACGCACTCATTATGCCACTACGATCCTGAATGGAATTCGAATGCGTAGGCGCATCCCTCAGATCGGAATGATCAACGTCCTAAGACTTTATCCTTAATGGCCTCGAATCGTATATCGGCTGACAATCGCTAATCGTTGCATAGGCCGCGTACGCATTTGGAACGCCTCTACGAGACGGGATTCATTATGCCAGAGAACTTCTTACAACTTGTTAGTTTTGTGTGGTATGGTAACAGTCCACTTCATCGTAGTCCACCCAGAGACCCATATTTTCGAGCTGTTCTCACACATGCACTGAAATCGGAAAGCAAGTTTCTCATTTCATGCACCTAAGTTTTTGATTCTACTCGTTGGTGGACTACCTTGTATCTTAGAGTTGATCTCTACACCGCGCATAGTCATGCTATCTGGGGGCAGTGCTTTTGATTTTATAGATAGCTCTTCTTGAATGCAATATTTTTTGTCTTTGAGTTACTCTTTTTCAGCCAAAGTCTCATGTACCGGCAGCTAGCATTCCACGATATGATGAACATATTCCAAGCGGACCACCACCGCAGGAGCGATATGACCAACCTCCAGTTGAGGTTAGAAATTTTATTTTTGGTTTGATACAAGAAATTTCCTAGATCTGTACCATCATAGACTGGGGTGCAAAGAAATGGGAATGGAGTGACACTTTTGTTTCTCTTCTCATAACTTTCTGTGTTTTTTACAAGCTTATACAGACAGTAGATACTCGGCCTATCATATCGCCAAACTGGCGTTTATAGTACCGAGGCACGGTTTATAGTTGGCGCAGCATTAGGATCGGTGGACATCGTGTGGGGTCAGCACTTCCGTAAAAGGTCCAGCGTACCCCCAACCAAGGGTAGCGATTTCGCAGAAACATGAAAATCTCAGAACTGAAAGATGGTCCCAGGAAGATGCCCTAGGCGATGGCCGCTACTACCAAACGCTACAACCTAGTAGAAAAGCGCTACAGATGTGTTATCACTGTGTCAGGCTGTTTTAATGGTTCAGAATGGCCTTGTATGGATTGGTTGCATTATCTATTTGTGAGTTTAGGAGACTTCCACTGCCACTACTGACATAACAGAGTCACGTGGAGATCCGCTCAAAGGCCCTGCTCATCCACTGGACCCTGCCCTTGGCCTAACTGCTATCGCCATTTACGATTATCAAAAGAATGACGATGATGAAATAAGCTTCGAACCGGATGACATAATTACGAATATTGAGCAGGTAACATTGCTATATAGATGTTCATACAAGTCTATATAAGGCATTCCACTTCTTTGGAATGTTTAGTCATATCTTTATTCCCTATTTAGATTGATGCCGGCTGGTGGAGAGGAATTTGTAATGGGCAATATGGCCTATTCCCTGCGAACTATGTGGAATTACGATGAAAACATTTTTGGAGTCATTTCTAATTCTGTATGTGTGTGTTGAATCTTTCATATTGAATATGTATCATGCCCGAATGCCTTCTCTGATAAAAAATTAATAGGTAGAGTGTTTTGTTTGGGATTCTGTGGGAGAACTCGCAGGGAGGTGAAACCCCAGAAGCCTCAGTGGAGTTTTTCGAAACAAAACCTGCCCATAGTTCCATTTATGAAGAGAGATAGAGACTGCAAAGTGGGTATGAAACCGTTTTTCGATAATTCGAGGAAAAATCAGATAGCCGGTCACAGGAAATCTGATGGTCTAAAAGCTTTAATATGTAGGTGGGGTTCTGCGTACTGTCGCACTTATACGGATTGCAAAGATTGCAGATTAAACCTCACTTTCGGCTCCCAACTCGTCTTTGTTGAAATTTTCGCATGTTTCCTATGGCCCAGTGCAGTTCTCAATTCTATCGGTTCATAGTTTAATGTAGGATCCATGTCCCATATTTGAGTACATGTAGAAAGCCAAAAAGCACTAATGTTGATTCCTTTGCATTGCTTGGCTGGGTGCCTACTACACCATGGTTTATACCAACTGGTAATGATGTGTAGTGACACTGTTAACATTAGAGTTATGAAGGTGTAATAAGTAAATCGTTCAGCTTTCCACTCATTCGAGCCCGACACCGAGCTCGAGATTATTGCGACAGTCCCTCGAGATTGATCAAAGCGTAAGAGACTGTAGCAATATAACAAAGGGTTGAAGTTATAAAGAGTAGATGCGGCTGACATTTACTATAAAAGTATAACAATTAGAATTGTAACCTGTATATATGTCAGTCATTTGTAGTAAAACTGTTAAATGCACTTGAAAAAAAGAAAAATCCCATTCGTGCAGTTTTATTTTGCTTCTTTTAACCATACCGAGAATAACGATTATCCCACAATCTTTCACTTAGCATGTCTGCAGAATCAGTGGCTTGCCTTTGTTCATGCTGATAGCGTAGGGATAACAGAGGCCCCCATGGAGGGCGGGAACGGGTGGGTTTCTTGGCGAAAGTGGCGGGGGCGGCTGCTGATCATCCCGAGAATGCGGAGGTTCTCATTAGCAGGAATCCATGGGATCGCGGCAAGTACATCCTTCTTATTGCTGCCATTCTATTTCGTTATTTAAAATATAATTCTTATCACTGATTCTTGGTCAGTCTGCTTGTCTTCTGAGCTCTTCCGTCTCTTCTCCAGTGAAAATCCATCAGAAAACTTGGAGTCCATCTTGTGTGTTTCCCAATTTGTGTTCTGTAGTCTGGTAGGATTGGCCTAACTACCGCAGTCAAGCTCTCGGACGGCCTGTCAAAAGCGTTTCGAGGTTGTCTGTCATCATTGGAATTGTTTTTGGGAGTGAACAGACAAATCATACGTCATGATTCATATGATCGACTGGCCAGGCCATCCGCAACAAATTCTTTGCCCTCTTCTCATCGCTAACATCTGTTTTACATACAAATTTATGCACGACACGTCCGTTTTGAATTTATCCGAATTAATAGGGAAAAGGGAGTGTTTTTATCAGCACCAAACTGCTCCCATTGTCGGTTTTTATTTACGTTTCCTATTACCCTGGGTAGATTACTCATAGACCTTCTGAAGTAGGAAGAACCAAATGATCAGGCCTACCTCTATCTACTTCAATTTACAATCGTGTAGCCTTGTTGTAATAAAAATAGTTAATTAATTTGAAAAAATAAAGTATTGATTAAATTTTTATATTATATTATATTATTATCAATATTGTTGCGAAAATCGTGTAGGCGTTTGATTGAGTATTATTCATCTGATTTAGCAATGTGTGACTCAACTCCCTACCGTTCAGACAGTAATGGAACCAGCAATTCCTTTGTAATCGAACTGCTAACCGAATATTTGGTTTATTTAATTGCCTTTGATTCGATTGACTCTGAAGTGACTAGAGAAAGGGGCTTAAAGGACTGATGAGAATGTCCTACTGAATGAAGCGATCAGTGTAGGGAATGTTTTCGATCTATTGGTTTTTGTGTAAATTTTTTCTAACGGGCGAACACTTGAAGATTTATTTGCTACCGATCAAGCAGCTAAACCCACAATTCAGTCTTAAACTGATCAGTCACATGGGGGAACTCGCTCGGGGTGGTCGCATCACGTAGCTGCTCAAAGGATTCCCACTTGAGAAGACTACAGAGAATGGGTTTAGAGGAAACAAGGTCGTCATCTGATTGGCATCGGTTTTGTCTTCTGCCCTTTTGTAGTCACGTTCAGGCTAGGGCCCTCATTAATCGGGAGCTTTTTGCTAGACAGCCATATGTTTGAGACACTGGAGGTGAATTCGCAGTATATTATATAATCAGCTTCCTAGCAGCCCAACTCGTATCATCGAAAGCCTGCTCCCGATTCCAGCTCACGAATGGTGGACTTCTACTACCCATGGGACTGGCTCTGGTAGTTTGTTGCTATTGGGACTACGTCGAAACTTCTGTAGAGAGTTCGACGGCTGCTGGATGACGTGGAACTAGCGATGGGGGATTCCGAGGAATTCATTTTGATCAGGTGCTAATGAATAATCGATGACATTCTCTCGCGATCAACGACGCGGTATCATCAGACTGGCTGGCGGAGTGTAATCCTCGACATCTTTCACCCTCAGCTCATTGTTTCCTGCATGCATGACTATCCCCTGTCACGGCCGCTGGAAGGCTGCCCTCATCTTCTGCTTTACCTCATCGTTTTGCTACTCGGATATTATTTTACAGTGTGATTACTTGTTGAAAGTCCAACAGTTTCTTCAAATTAATAAGCGTACAGCTATTCGTAATGCACAGCCTTTAAATGTTATGTAGGCCTAGGATCGATACCTCACCAATTTTTCCTAAAACGCTGTTATTTCCATTTCTAATAGCAATCCATCATGATAGGTTCCTACACTCTCCCACACTCTGATTAGTTTCGAGGGACTGTTGGGATAAATGGGATCGGCTGAATGAGAGCTAAACGATTTGCCTATTACACATCATAACTCAAATGTTAACAGTGTCACTACACATCATTACTAGTTGGTATAAACCATGGTGGATAGCGAAGGACAAAATGATGAATCCTTGACTTTGATCAATTCGACTTTTATTCGGGATGTGCTTTATCCTTCCAGACCCCGAAAGGAAGGGAGGACTGGTTGGTCTTTGCGAGTATTGATCATTTCACCTTAGCTCTGTGAAAGTGCGTCACTTGCTTATAAACCACATCCGTCAGTCCACCAATATTTCACTGAACTGAAGGGTCAACGTATTTTAGCCCTATCTATAAGAGCATTTCCAGGCTCAGAACATTTACTTTCAACAATATTTTGTAATCATTTCCAATTCAAGGTTGTGCTCGAGTTCGGTTCGATACCGGTAACCATTTCAGTAGACATTTATTTTTCCAGAGCTTCCGTCTAAAGCCTGTGTTCAGAGCATCCTTCTCCTCCTCACATTAGTATAGCCTATAAACCAGAATATCAGAATTACACTGTGTACTCGGGTAAGCGCCTGGATCGGGATCATGCAGCTGAGCAATAGATTATGTTGCTTGTTGAGGTGTTTGATTCAATGCTTTGTGCAAACAGTGGCCTTAATTCTTGGTCAACCCCTCAGAAGTGAGCTTGGAAGGTGAGTGAACGAGTCTAATTGGGGGAAAGAGATAAAAATGGCACCATGGCTGTAGTTCTGATGAGATAAAGGTAATCAGCACATAAAGAAAACATTTCGAAGCTGAAATGAGGCGTCAGTGATGACAACCATCAAGGATTCCTTTTGTTATTCATTCTGCTCAGAGACAAGCTTTCGAATAAAGTGTCCTATGAGGGCAGTGAAGGTGGGCTCTTTTGTCCCTGCCACATGAAATGTTTATCGGTCCGCTTTCCTGATTCCTCTTGTATTAACCATTCTTCCATTTTTGTGAAACGGGTTACTGTGTGAAAGCCCCTGAGCACGCATCTTGAATTTTATGATTCTCGAGGGCTCTGAAATATTCCATGAAAAGAGACTGCTGCTTCACACATCTCTCATATAGGTGTCTAAGTAAAGGACAGGATTTTGTCCCATAGGTGGTATCTGGAAAAAAANNAAAAAAAGAATGCTCTCTCCTCTAGACTCCATGAGAATGCCCTCTGCTTTAGACTAGAATACTTGCAAGCCCGTACCCGAAAAGAGAATGGTGCTGCGGAATGGCGAGAGTACAGCTGTTCAGCGAAACATTATGGCCGCCATTGTTCTAGGATCACGTACTGGACCAGTCAAGTCCCACTGTAAGCAGCAGGAGAGCAGCCTTTGTGGAATAGAAATTATACATGGAACTGTGAGAAGTTACGGCTAAGTTTAAGAGTGCTGCCATATTGGCCACAGCTTCCTCACAACAATACGAGATCCAACCTTTGTAGCAAACTTAGACAGCTGTTATGGGTGTGATGTGTGCTCCTTTTGACCGATTTCCCAGATGGGCCTTTGCTGACGTTCTCTATAAATGGCACCAACTCCTTTAACTGACATAACAGCACAACTCTTCTATTACGGCAAGCTTGAAAGACTAAATCCTCGACAAAGCAGCTCAGGCAGCGCCAGCACATCGTAACACTTCTAGGGTTAGTGGCAGCTGTAGTTAATCTATGGAGCAGTCCTGCAAGAAGGGAAGATATCTGGCCTGAGGAGCTACGTAGATATCTGGTGATGCCCTGCACGAGCAGTTGCAGTTTCTCGATGATTTATTGAACACGCTACAACCCGACCAGCTGATGAGAAGGCATAGTGAGGAATTACTCTCATTCATGCCCTCGATTCAGTGGGAGAAATATAACGGTGCTCGAGGCTGAGGCGAACCAATACAGTGACATTGTCAGGGTCGCCCATGTTGCGGAATGATCTACAGGTCTATATGGGTCGCAGAGTTGGCCTTCGCTTCCTCTAAGAAATGTGAACTGGAATTAGAGTTGCAGCTGCTGGTGAAGGAAGGCCATC